CATGCCCCCAGTGACTGCTGTTCCACACCCAGGAGAAGGGGAAACCCTCTAGGCCAAACTGGCCTGGAGAAAAATTGCTTCCTGACCCCAAAGAGTGATCAGCATTTCCCTGGACGTGTCAGAAAGGGCCACGAGAACTGAGCAGTGATGTAGCCCTTCCTGTCCCCCCTCTTGTGATCTGCCCAAATTCACAGAATCAGCATGGCTGTCAGGTCTTGCAGAGTGAGGGCCCCGGCTTCTTTGACTGAGTCAGTCCTTCTCCCTCTTTTCTTGCTTCCTTAAACTTCTCCTAGCCTTATTGTCTTCCTAGCCTTATTGTCTTTTTCAGCTAATCTTGTCTTCTCATAATGTGACTAAAGCATGATACCCTCAGTATAGTCATTTTAGCTTCTTGGGAGAATTCAGGCATGATTGGATCTAGAACCCACTGATTTGGGGGGGGGGGGGGGTTGGCAGTCCACAGTATCCATCATAAAACATGGATAAATTGGAAAAAAATTACGCGATGGAAGTCAGTCCATCTCAAAGTCTCTGTGCAGCATGGCAAAATGTAAGACCGGCTTTCTGAAGCTCATCTTCCCTGCTGTACTGTGAATTGTACAGATCCTTTCCCCTTCCTCGCCTGTCAAATTGTATTGCTAGCTGGACCAGAAGAGAGGATTCAATTACCTGCAATACCCAATTAAGTCAGGATAGCCCCGTCTGGGTCTTTTCATCACCTCCCACAATGACCTGGCTCTGGTTTCAGGCTGCTCAAGCAGACTCCATGGGCTGCTGCCCTTCCAAGCATTTCATGCACCCATAACTGCAAGAAGAGGTAATAACACAGCCTGCCGGCTCACCGTTAAACCATGGCAGCTTTCAAAATATCCTATCGTTCAATCCTATCAGTGTCGGAACTGATTTTAAAAGTGGAAAGGATTAAAAAAATGGGAGTGTGATCAGTGCTCCCGCTAAGCTGTGGAGTCTTGTGAGCAAGAATTCAATTCTGTGCGCTACTGGCATTAAAGTTGTGAGTGAGCCGTTAGGCTACTGCGTAAATCAGTTTGCTCTGGAGCCATCCTTCCTGAGCTAAGAAAAAAATCTGTGAGCCAGAGTCTAAAAAACTGTGAGCTAGCTCACACTGACTCATCTTAGAGGGAACACGGAGTGTGATAACCATAAGGAAGAAAACAGTGTTGTGTTGAAGTTGGGAGGGGGAAAGGGAGAGTCTAATTCACAATGCAGCGAATCATTCGGTTCTTTGCCAAACCAAAGTTCCAGGAACTTTCCAAGCTCTGTGTTCTCACTGGGAAGTCTTCCAGGTTGGGTAGAAAACATCTGGGGCAAGCAGTTTGGCCACTGGCAACAAAAGGAGGGTGAGGGGCCACAGGGCACATTCTGAATCCTCCCACATCAACATAAACAAAAGACTGTGCACTCAGAGGGGCTGTGGTTCAGTGGCAGAGCACCTGCTTGGCACACAGAAGGTCCCAGGTTCAACCCTCAGCATCTCCTGTTTACAAAGGACCAGGCAGGGGGTGATGGGAAAGACCTCTTCCTGAGACCCTGGAGAGTTGTCAAGAGGGGCCGTGGCTCAGTGGCAGAGCCTCTGCCTGGCATGCTGAAGGTCCCAAGTTCAACCCCCAGCATCTCCAGTTTAGAAAGGACCAGGCAGCAGGTGATGTGAAATACCTCCGCCTGAAACCCTGGAGAGCCACTGCCAGACTGAATAGATAGCAGATACTGAGTAGATACTGACCTTGATGGACCAAGGGTATGATTAAGTCAGAGGCAGCTTCACTTTTTCACATCACAGATACACCCAATCCCATTGTGTCCCAGTGGTGTGGTGGTTGAAGTGTCAAATAGGGATTTGGGTAAACCCAGGTTTGAATCCCCACTTGAGCCATGGAAGCTGGCTGGGTGACCTTGGGCCAGTCACACGCTCTCTCAGCCTAACCCACCTCCCAGGGTTATCGTGAGGATAAAATAGAGGAGAATGATGCTGGACCTCCTGATTGCCCCTGGTATTTTCAGTGTCAAATAGGGATTTGGGTAAACCCAGGTTTGAATCCCCACTTGAGCCATGGAAGCTGGCTGGGTGACCTTGGGCCAGTCACACGCTCTCTCAGCCTAACCCACCTCCCAGGGTTATCGTGAGGATAAAATAGAGGAGAATGATGCTGGACCTCCTGATTGCCCCTGGTATTTTCGACCACTGTATGACAGAGTGTTAGACTGGATGGGCCATTGGCCTGATCCAACATTGGCTTCTCTTATGTTCTTATGGATAAAAATATGGAGCAGAGGTCCATCAGTGGCTCTTAGCCCCATAGGAACTTTCAGTCTGGGGCAAGTGATGCTCTGTCTTCTTGGTGCTTGGGGGCCACAGTGGAAGGGCTTCTGGAGTTCTGGCCCTGCTGGTGGACCTCCTGGTGGCACCTGGTATTTTTGGCCACTGTGTGACAGAGTGCTGGACTGGATGGGCCATTGGCCTGATCCAACATTGGCTTGTCTGACGTTCTTAAGACAAGTTGGGGCCCACCTGGGGAGAAAGGTGGGTTATAAATCAATAGGACAGCTTTTGTGTGTTCCACATGTGCT